ATATTAACAATTCGATTCTTTATATTATATAAATTTTTGTTTTTTTTCTTAGTCAATGTTCAAGAGTACGGATTGAACCAAACATTGTTCAATATGTGGTTAACAAATAATACAGAACAACTGAAATCTACCGAATATAATCATGAAAATATTCAAGATATTTTATTTCTGGATATTAATTCGAACGGAGATGATAACCACATTGGCACAGTTTATGTATCTGATTATGAAGAAAAAATAATAAGTATTATTTCCAACAAAGAATTAAATCCGCATGGTCACCCAAGTCAAAAACGGTATGAAACGACAAAAACCAGTCTTTTGTGTCGCCGTAATCTGGGATTACAGAAAACGACGCCCATTCAAGGCGCTGTTTCTGATGGTTAGAATGGTCGTCCTGGGTATAATTTACGGACAACTAAACAAGTACATTCATTAGAGAGTGAAGAACAACATCCACACCCACTCCGACGAACAATTTGGTGGAAATATGGAGTTTATTATAGCTCAGATGATTAATATTAGATACACTCGTTATGTACTGGTCGTCGAAGTAAAACGTGATTCATTTGGAAATCAATTAGCAACTAATAACATAGGATGGGAAACGAAGAAGATCGATGGTTGAAACATAACACACAGATAATAGATGTCATTTACACTATTTTGTCATCAATATAATGTTTTTTGTTACTATTTAGTTGAAAAATAAAAAAAACTTGTACATTAAGATTGTTTTTCTGAAAGATTTCTTCACTGATTGACTTTCGCTTAATAATTGACGGCAAAGAATAATTGAGTAAAACATAATATTTTCTCAGACGAGAAATGAACTTAAAGCAAGAATATTTGTATTTATGTTTATCGACTTTTTATCTTTTCTATACTCCGATTCTATAGTTCTGCAATTGTTTTATCACTGTAAGATTTTGTTCGGGTCCAACAATTAGATTTTTGATCAATATAGATGAGACGCTTTTTCAAATGATATAGTTAAATCAATAAATAAGAATTGAACAGAATTTTTCTACAAAAAATGTTTTTAAAAGAAGAACATCGATCGAAAGATATTGCAACAGCTGATTATTCTTTTCCGATTGAAAAAAATCATTCAAATGTAGATCTATTGAAACGGAAAAATTTAAAAAGAAAAGAATAAGAACGAAGGAAAAAAATCATGTGCAAAAAAAAACGAGTAATATATTCATTCTTTTGTGCGATCATTTTTTAATCAATCAAAGTCTGAACAGCATCTAAAATTCGTTGGACACGTAGTTGTGTTTTACTCATATCAAAATTCAATTTATTTGGTACATAGGCAAACGTTAATTGCTTGTCAGGACAGGCAAATGCAATACTTCCACCTATACCTATGTTAGAAAAATGGTACTAATAATACGATGAAATATATGGACAAGTTGTTTTACCCCAATGTCCAAAGACTTTTCCAAATTGTTTCACTACTGTTGCATCTAACATATAACCACCTTGACTAAACTTTGTTGGTATAAAATCAAGAATTTGATCACATTCATTTTCAGGTGTATTGTTCAATATTGCTTTTGCTAGAGTCGTCGAATTGACGAGATTTTTAGTGAATAATAAGGAAGCATAAATTTGTGCTAATGATCGGGCATTTGTAAAACCATTTATGATTGATAAACGCTTGTCGTTGCCATCGATTGGTAACGATAGTGCAAGACTATTGAATGTGAATGCTCGAGTTTGTAGTGAACTAGTGCAAAGAAAGAACGACATTATTTAACTAAAAAATGGTTTATGAAAATGAAGGTGGGAGTTCTGTTACAAAGCAATTTTAGAATTTGAAAGTGAATGGATTTATTCTACTTCTTATAGCCCCTATTTGAAAACAATGATTTTTCTCAAATACATTTAACGAATATTTAACGATAACATCATTATAAGAAATAGCACTCATAAATAGTTCGGTTAATATATCCGTTTACAACATAGTTTCTTCAGAGTATTTGTTGACGTTTTTTTCAAAGATTGTACGATACCTTGATTCTGACTGATTTTCAGAAGAATTTGTTTCTCGTGGTAATATGGATGGTGATATTCGAGCTAAATATTGTTCAGGTAAACAAGTGCCAACATAATATTCACAATCTTCTAACCTTTGAACAATTTCTTCCTGAATAAACTGTCCCATTGATCGATGTTTAACAATATCAATTCGACGAATTAATTCGTTTGTTAGATAACCAAAAGTCAAAGCATGATAGCCATGACCATCGACATCAAGGTCCCAATTTGGCTTTTGCTTGACTAGAAGATCAATGATTTTCGTTGGATCTAAAACAAATGTTAAAGTATGCAGAGTAGCAGTTTGCATTCTCTCTCTACACGCATCGTGATACACACATCATTAGACTACATAGGATTTTGTTTCTTCAATTTTCAAGTTGTTATAATACGTTCATATAAAAAAGTTGACGAATATATTAGATGATTTTAGTTTTCATTACGATTAAAACAAGTGAAAAAGCATATAATCGAATATTAGCCAGTGTGAAATAGTGCCATTTTTTATTGCGGTGATATTTTTCTTTTGTTTTGATATTAGATTTCTACAACATTCGATTACATTATATGCTAGTAAACTTACCGGTAAGAATATCTTCAGCATTCAAAATGCCATCATCATCATTTATTACCGCTAGACCAGCTCGATGTGACAGTAAATCTTTGACTTTTACATTCTGCTTTCCATTTTGTCCAAATTCTGGCCAATATGTTGCTACTCGTTCTTCGTAATCCAACAATCCTCGTTCAATACATATGGCTAAAGCTGTAGCCATAATACCTTTTCCTGTAGAATAAACACATTGCAATGTGTCATGAGTATATTGTTTGGTACGATCCTCTAAATCAAACCATCCACCAGCTAAGTTAACAACGCATTGTCCTTGATAATAAATGCAGAGTGTAGCACCAATGTCAAGATGATCAATAAAGTTTTGTTGAAATAAATGATGAATAAGTTCCCATGAAGTAGCACAATAGCCTGATACGGGATGCTCTTTTTCTAACATATGTAGCCTTTTGAGAGTACTTTGAATAGATTTATTTATTTAATATTTGACCTTTTCCACAAAGAAAGAGATTATTACTATTCAATCAATTTGTAAATGAAATAGATGGCGTCATGCGAAAGTCGACAAGAACGAAATAATAGTTTTAGGACTGGTACTTCTCTTTCCAAACATTATATTATCATCATGGCATCAATTGTTTTATACACCCACATGAATATATATTTGTTTTTTTTTTGAATTTTATTTAAATATTTTATTAAAAGAGAATAAAATACAAAAAAAGAACTGAACAATTTTTATTGTTCTTTTGCTTTGAAATATTCACCTAGAAGAAAATAATTCATGAATGATAAATTTTTGGGCATTTATATTTACCTAATTTTTCCACAGCTTCAATAGCAATTGCAGGATTCATTCGATCGTTAAATGTACCAAAAAGAATATAAACTTTCGTTTTAATAAGTACCAATCCTCTATTATTCTATAAGAATAAAGATTAGAAATAATCTATTTCAAATATGTACAAACTATTCATTTACTTCTTTAGCATAAATAGATTCGTTATCAGTACGAATACATGTATAATAAATTTCATTAAAATAAAGACCTTTTTTACGTAAAAGAGTTGGCTGATTAAATGCATTTACAAGTGTATCAACATCTGTTTGTTCAAGCTATAAATTCAATGGAGAAAGATTATTTACTTTATGAAATATATATAAATAAATTTATTCTACACACTTTATAACCAACAGATGTTGTCTTTATTTGATTGGTATCACGTAAAAGTAAACCACATTTTTCAATATGACCCGTATCAATCAATGCAGTATGTAGTAATACTTGAAGTTGATTCATAATTATGATCGATTTGATGTCTTACAGCAACTATTATTCTCATTCTTTTTTTCTTTCTTTTCATTTTTTTCTACTAATTCAAACAGCCATGTCTATGGAAGTTGCGCTGACTTCAGCCTCCTTATTTTTTCATCATATATACCAACTATCAAGGATTTTTTTTTGTTACACTGATATCTTCATATCAATAATTCAAAATAACAGTATTTTAGCAATTTCATTAAATACTTCTATAAATTATATAACAGAATGTTGATAATATAAACTTAGTCCCAATCTTATATCCACAAAAACAAGATAAATTCAAGCAAGCAATTTTCGTCACAAATATAATATATGTGAATGTATACAAACTATGCACACCAATCAAAAATCACGATATACAATGTCAGACAAAAATGCTACTAAACGAGAACAAGTGCTAAGCGAACACGAAAATGTGTTGCTGAACAATAGCAAAAAAAAGAAGAATATGACAAGTCAAAAAAGAAAGCTAAAAAGGATGATAATAATAATAATAATAGCAATTTGAAGAAATCACACGAAACAATAAACTAGTTCTATATAATCTATGTTATGATTATATTATATTTATTTTTTTCCTCTACCACCTGTGCGTTTTCGACCAGTTGTACCTTTTTTATTATTGCCAGCAGTTCGTTTAATATATGCTTTGCCTTCCTTCAAATAGAAAAATAATAATTAAAATAGAAATAGAAATTATACGAAAAGAAAAAATATATTTACACGTGCTGTATTAGCCATTGTACCAAGTCGTTTTAGTGCTGGTTTACGACCACTTGTTGCTCTAGTTACTTCTTGAAGAGCTTCTGTAGCTTTAACAGCTGCTTGTCGTCGTTTAGTTTCTGCGCGTGTATCACCAAGAGTCTCTGTACCAAGTATTGTTTTTGCTTCCTTTACAATCAATAATATTGTATAAAGTTTCAATAATGAAATTCAACATACTTTTGCTGTCGTTTTCATTGTACGTGCTTTCGATAATTTTGGTTTAGCTTTTGTTTTAGTTGAAGTAGTCGAAGATGTTGTTGCAGTTGTTGATGGTGGTGTTTTATCATCAGTTTCTGAATCTGATTTATCGCGTGCTTCTAATAATGCATTTACTCTATTTAATTTATCTTCACCCCATGTTTGTTTTAAAAACTCTTGACCAGCCTGAATAATAATATTTTAAAATGAAAAATATCGAAAGAAATATTCTTTTTTTTCTTACAGCAGCAGTAGCCGCCATTGTTCCAGTTTTTTTTAATGATGCTTTTGAAGCTTTACTCTTTTTAGGACTCATGATTTTATTCTATTTGTGTTTGTGTGAGTATGCGTATATAAAGAAAACAATATAATAGTAGAACGAGAGAAATTAATAAACTGATGTCGAGAATATGCTTATCTAAAATAGATTAGATAGATAAATATATAATATTAATCGTGTCATATAATGTTTATTTCTTAACAATATATGTAAGTAGAAATATTTATAATACTTCGATAGAAAAAATAACGTTTATATCTATCTTTAAAAATGTCATTTCACATATTTAAGCTTTAAATATGCAATACCTACGTACGTAAGTGAGTATGTGTGGGCATCGATAAAGTCTATAGAAAAAGAAAGAAAGAAAAAAATGTCAAACTGGTAGCCATCATTAAAAAAGTTTTGTTCGCAAATTTTGTAGAATATTTCATTCAGATTTTCTCTTATAAAAGAAAAATGATAAAGTCATTATTTATGAATAAAATATATTCTTTTCTGGCTTGGCCCTCCATATTGCTGCTATATAAAATAGTTAATTGTGTGTTAATTGAAGGAAAATAAACATATACAATATGATACAGACTCTAATTTGCAAAAATATAGAACGCTATGTGTTTTTATATCATGAATGATTTGCCCAAAATGCGCGAGACGATGGAAACTTGCGTAGTTTTCTCAAACTATGTTTAAAAATCTATATTAATTCAGAAGAACATAGTTAGAAATAAACTTTCTACTGTTGTAAAATCAAACATTTCGAAGGCACGATACTCTCTATTCAGTATTTTACAAATTCCGTAGTATGACGATCGATATAAATGTGAGGGTAACCTTTGATTTTCGTCTTCAACATCTGAATTTCAAGCACTTAACTACGATTTAAATATTTGAAAACAATTTTTGTCTAAAGATTTTATAATACATCTACACTTTAATAGAAAGAAAAAGACATGAGATGAAACTTCTTTAAATCATTCTAATAATTTACCTGAATTTCTACAACAAAAATAAATACAATACTACGCGTATAATACAACAGAGTATGATGACTATTCTGCATAATATTCACTAAGGGTAATGGGGTTGTAAATTATGTAAGAAAAACTTGTGGTAAGTAACAGAACAGAAAAAAAGAATCAAACAAAAGTACGAAGGAGTATAATGTATAGAAAACGTGCACTGTCATCATTCTGTCGAGCATATTATATGCAAGGCATTTTTAGTCATATCTATATTTAAAACAGTAAGATAAGATGGCTGATATTAAACATAATACAACATCTTCAAATACCCCATCAATAACAGTTTATTGGTTGAATGAAAGTCGTGCTGATCGAATAATATTCTTACTTGAAGAATTAGAATTACCGTATGTCATTGAAAAGTTTGAACGTGGATCCGATAAACTTGCGCCTGAAGAATTAAAAAATATTCATCCATTAGGAAAAAGTCCAGTAATCAAAGATGGTGATAGAGTTGTAGCAGAATCAGGTTTCATTATTGATTATCTTATTAATAAATATGGTACAAATAAAAATTTAAAACCAACAAATGAAGATGATTTATTTCAATATAATTATGTATGTTTTCATTTTTATCTGAAATGAAATTTATTTAAAATATTTTTAGTTTTTACATTATATTGAAGGAAGTTTAATGCCTATTTTGGTTACGAAATATATCTTTCTTCTTTTACAAAAACAAGCACCATGGATAATAAAACCTGTTGTAAATGGTATTTGTAGTAAAATGGATGGACTTTTTATTGGACCAAATATTAGAACACATTTAAATTTTATTGAAGGAGAATTAACAAAAAGAAAATGGTTAGCAGGTGAACAATTTTCTGGTGCTGATATTCAAGTAATTTAATTTACTCTTAATAAGTATATTTTCTCTATTTATGTTTGTATTTCTAGGCAAGTTTTGCATTAGAAATGTTATTGAAACGATCAGGTGTCAAAGAAGAAGAAGCACCGAATTTAACTCGATATATAACAGCTATGCGTGAACGATCAGCTTACAAACGAGCTATGGAAAAAGTTGAAAAAACATCAATGGCTAGTTGAAAATAGACTTTGAACTTACCTTGTTTTAAGATAAGAATTTATATGAAAGATATACGATAAAGGGTATATTTATATACAGATTAAACTTACAAAAATACATTCTCTGTTCTATAGTGACATCTATAAATATTCTATTCCTTCAATTGCATCCATTTGCCTTGTCAATAACCTTTACAAATATTTTGTTTTCTATTCGTTCTTCTTTCAATCAAATCTTTTCATAAATAAAAAAAATCTATGTCTTGAATAATAATTAAACCTTAGTCTATTTATTATTATATTAATTAATTAATTTGTTTTTTCTTTAAAATTGAGATGTCTCGAAGACATTCTCCAAATGAAAAATTAAAAAATAAAAATCCTTCATCTCCATCTGATAATAATGATGAACAACGCTATTGTATATGTCAAAAACGTGAAGATGAATTAAATGATCAAGATAATAATGATTTTATGATTGAATGTGATGGATGTAATGGATGGTTTCATGGAAAATGTATTGGATTAGCTGATCGAATTGCTGGTAAAACATTTTCTTTATAGAATTGATCTATAATTTATTGACATTTTCTTTTTTTCTATAGATGACATTGAGAAATATTTTTGTGCTGAATGTTCAAATCAACATGGACCTTCAATTTGTAAGCGTGAAAAAAAAACAAGTTGTTTTTAAGAATTGAATTTTTTTTCTTTTTTTAACAGATAAACAACGAAAAAATCAACATCGACGAGACTATAGTGATGCAAATGCTGATAATAAAGTAAATTAAAATAGTAACGAAAAAAACAATTAATTTTTTCAAAATTTGTTTTTTTCTAGCCAGTAGAAAGTGGTACACCAGCTTTTATTACTAAATTAAAACGAAAAGTTTTTCCAAGGTATAAAGAAATTTTTTCCATAAAATATATATTTATATTTTGTTAATATTTCAGTTGTACACCTATTATAACTCAATTAAAAGGAAATCAAGTAAATGTTGAATATTTAATTAAAAATGGTTTTACAAAACCAATATTAGTTGCAAATCGTGATGGTCTTGAACTTTCTCTACCAAGTCGAACAATAACATTAGCTGAAATTAGTGACCTTGTTGGTATGAAAAAAAAAATTTGAATATTTGTTTTTGTATTAACTAAATCATTTAGGACCTGATCGTTTTATTGATATAATTGACTGCGAAAAACAAGTGACATATAAAATGGGTTTAGATGAATATATTGAATATTATGAAAATTTTGAAAGAAATAAAATATACAATGTTCTCAGTTTGGAAATATCAAGTACTAAGTATGTTATATATGTTTAAATGATTTATAGTAGATTGATTGTAGTCTAGTACTAAGGGTGTGAGTGTGAATCTTCATCAGAGTTTACACCAATACCCAGCTACTCCCACATCCACAAGAATAAATCATATCGATATGTATTCAATTTTCGTTTAGTATAAAGTTATACGACAATAGAAATATATACTTTTAATGATCTATTTAAAATCTCATTTCAAAATAGTATTGAATGGTGCATTGTTTGAGAAAAAAATGTCTTCCTGTCAATATTTAATTATTCTTTTAATTAAGATTGGGTGAACAAGTTATAACACCACGACTTGTTCGAGATTTATCATGGGCTACAATTGGCATATGGCCCATGAAAAAGAACGATGAAAAAGGTTCAGATGAAATCGATTCAAGTGACTTAAAAAAGAAAGCAACATGGTCGTTACAAACAACGTCATCATCATCATCGGCATCAAAAAAGAAACGTCGAACAGTTTCATCAACAGATACAGATCAAAGTGACGACGAACAGTTTACAGGAATAAATCCAAATCATTTTGAAAATTTCGAACGTCCTGATGTAGCAAAATATTGTTTAATGAGCCCGCAATCATCTTATACTGATTTTCATATTGATTTTGGTGGTTCAAGTGTTTGGTATTCTGTTGTTAGGGTAAATTGAATTGTTTATTTGTAATAATAAATTATTTATAATGTATTAAGGGCGAAAAAATCTTTTATTTAATTGAACCAACTGATGAAAATCTACAAAAATATGCTAATTGGTCACATTCACCAACCGAATCTGAAACATTCTTGGGCGATTGTGTTTCAAATTGTTATAAAATGCATCTACGTGAAGAAAATACTGTTTTTATACCAGCTGGGTAAAATTTTCTTGATTAAAATTTAACAATATTAATTCTTAAAAATTTTCTTTAGGTGGATTCATGCAGTATATACAGTAACTGATTCGCTAGTTTTTGGTGGTAATTTTCTTCAATCAATGGCGGTTGATATGCAACTTCGGTAGGTTTAATTAAGAATTTTTCTATAGTATTGACATTCGTGTAATTTATTTTTTTATAGTATATATGAACTTGAACGTCATGCACAAGTTCCACATAAATTTCAATTTCCACTATTTGAAACATTTCATTGGTATGCTGCTAAAACATATTTTGAAGAACTTAAAGGTATATTTTCTTTTTTCAATATACTATACAATATTTGATCTATAATAGAATGTAATGAATCTGACTCATTATTAATCAATCCAATAACACAACAAGCTTGCGAATCTATACTTCATTATATGAATAAATGGTTATCAACTGATAAACGAGTACGAAAACACACTTATTAAAAATTTACATAATCATATATTATAACTGCTTGAACTAAATCATAGATGAGTGAGAAGAAATTATATTTTCAATGTAATCTATGACAAAAACTTTCTAGTGATAAATAGAACGTTCATTCTGGTAATAATGATTGTATCATATGCATCTATCTTTTTTTGAAAAGAAAAAAAAGAAAACAAATATATTCTTATCTTGCTTCATATATATATTTCTTTTATTTTCGGCTTTGTATATGATATATCAAATGAATAGAAATAATAATTTTCTTTGAATTTATTTTAGTATCAAATGCGAAATCGTTTAATTATACCAAAAGGAATTAATTGCGAAAAATTATTACGTGATCTTTCACGTGAACTTGAAGCAGCTAAAGTAAATTATAATAAAACATAGACAACAAAAAAAAAACATGCTATTTGATTATTGTAGACACGTTGTGGATCAGCATATCTATCTAAACCACCATCAAGTAGTATTATTGCAAATTCCATTAAAGTTGTACTTCCAATTGAAACTAAACAAGAACTTGTTCATCTTAATAATACTAAAGTTTGTTTTCTATTATATATAGATTATTTATGTATTTATTTAAAAACAGATTAAGGTCAAATGTCGCCATACATCACCAGAATCTGATAATAATAAAAACAAAGAATTATCAGTTGGTAATGGAATGCGATTAACAATTAAAACATCATTAAGTGGTTGTCGAAAACCAAATAATAATAGAGAATTATCACCAATTATAAATAAGAAAAAAGCTGGACGAACAATATCAAATGTTAAACAACAAAAAAAGTAATTGAACAATTTAAAATGAAAAAGTCTTTTTTCTATTTCAATGATTTATTTTAGTTCTAATACTAATGATAGTCCAATAAAACAAGAAGAAGTACCTAAAATTAGTTATACACTTGGTAAAAACTTATTGAAAAAAATATAATTTTTTTTAAATATTTCATATAGATCTCGAAGCAAAACGACAACGTTTTATTGAACCTTCAACTGTTCAGTAAGTTATCATTAATTATATTTCTAAATTTGATCCGAGCATTTCAAGAAAATGAAATCAGTTTTTTCATTTACAATTAGTGATTTTATCTGCAATACATAGAATAATCATTAAAAAATATTATATTATTTATAGGCCAGTTCATAATGAACCTGATAGCGATAACAATACTTCATCAAGTGATACAAATATTTCATTAATTCCTATAGAATTAAATACAGATATCAATGAAAGTCAAGATAATATTGAATCATTAGGAAGCATAGCCGATGGTGGTCTTGCATCATTTGTTAAAAGTTCTACCATGAATAATGATTTTTGTAAGTATATGATAGTTCACTTTTCAGATAATAAAAATATTTTAAATTTAGATCATGCAAATAAAGAAATCAAAATAAAACGTGAGCATAGTTCTTCCGATAAAAAAAGTTCTTCAAGTAAATTTTTTATATTTTTTTGTTTCTTTATCATTCTAATTATTTCTTCATGTAGAAAAATTGAAAGCAAAATCTTCGTCAGAAACCGATAAAATAAATGTAAGAAATCTTATTGAATTAATTATTTCATTAATAATAATAAAAATTTTATTTTATAGAAATTACCAAAAAAGATTAAAACTGATGGTAATATATTATTATTTTCTATCTTATTTTCTATATTCTTATTTAGATTCAACACCATCGAATCCTAATCGAAAGAAACTAGTTACAACAACATCAGCAACAGTTCCTAAATCGTCATCATCATCATTAACTACTAATTCAACTGGAACTCCAACCATTAAAAAACGTTTATCATCATCTACACCAAAGAAACTTAATTCAAGAGATCGTTTAGGAAAAATTCTTAAAATAGCAAATAGCATTAAATCACGTGGAGGTGTTCTTACTTAATTTTTCAACTATTATATTATTATCTCAGGGATTAACACTCTTCTACTTCTTCTTTTTTTTCTGTTTTGCTCAATATTTATATACGATATTCGTTGTATATCATTATCGTTTATTATTTCTTTTGAACTGTCTTATTCGTAGATATATCGAGTTTGTTCGTTTTTTTTTTCTCCTTTATTGAGTTCTATCCGTATCATAAAATATCTTTCTATTAGATTAGTTTTTATGTATATAAGTGTTGTTCTTCTTTTATGATTATTCTGTACTATCGATTGTAACGATACAAAAATTAGCTAAAGGATATTTTTAAAAAATGATGTCATATATGACAGTATTGCGCAATTATGATGTAAAATATTTTTCTTTTTTGCATGTCGATGATCATTTTCAATTATTTTCATCGTATGATGGCTACAAGTACTATGACTACAGCATATAATCTTATTGATATTGGAGCAAATCTTACACATAGATCATTTAAACAAAATATTCAACAAGTACTAGAACGAGCAGCGAAAGCTCAAGTTTCAGATATTATTATTACGGGTACAAGTTTATCAGCTAGTCGTGAAGCAAGTCATCTTGCTACAAAATATAACCAAGAACAACAACTGGTTAAACTTTACTCGACTGTTGGTATTCATCCACATGATGCTACTCGTCATTCAACATATAATTATCGAGAACAACTTGTAGATTTATTACAAACAAATAAAACGAATGTTGCTTTAGGAGAATGTGGTCTTGATTTTGATCGTAATTTTTCATCACCTGATGATCAACGACGTGTATTTGATACACAATTACAACTTGCTTGTGAATTTAATCTTCCATTATTTATGCATGAACGATCAGCTTCATCAGATATGTTATCTCTATTAGAAAAATATTCCGAACATAAAAATTTTCGTGGTGTTATTCATTGTTTTACTCATGAATCTCTTGATGTTCTTCAACAATATCTTTCTCTCAATCTTTATATTGGAATAACTGGTTGGGTATGTGATGAACGACGTGGTAAAAATTTAGCAAAATTAATTCCACATATACCATTAAATCGTCTCTTAATTGAAACTGATGCACCATTTTTATTACCACGAAATACTCCAAAACCTTGGCCAAAAACTAATGAACCAAGTTATTTACCATATGTAGTAGCAAAATTAGCCGAATGTTATTCTATTTCAACTAATGAAATTGCTAAACATTCAACGGAAAATGCAAAACAATTATTTAATTTATAAATAATTGAAAGAGATTAAATCTATTCATATTTGCCATTGACAATTATTTAAAAATACGATTAAAGAAGGTTTTAATCTAAGGATACTATTAATTTTCTTTTTCTTTTTTTATGTATATTAGTATAATAAAAGATTTTGATTTCTATAAATAGTCAACAAAATTTGACAACTCTAGTATTGAATCATTGTATTTTGTTTGTATCTAATGAGATTGAAGGCAAGGTGTACCCATTTATCATTGGATTTATAGAGGACAAAACTTTTTGATAAGATACAATACGTATTTTGCACTTGCCCTTGTATAAGCAATATTTGTTACATGTGTCAGTACGATTAGATATATTGAAGTATAATAGAAAGTTGTTGTTTTTCTTTATATAGCAATAAAATACAATAAGATCAAAATTTTCATTCGTTCAACAAAAGGAAAATATGTTGATATGATAAATACTTCTAGAAATCAATCTGATATATGAAAATCTTTTACAAACTTCGCCTTACGTAATCATAATAAACTTATATTTTAAAATAAAAATGTCTGAGATACCAAGTAATCACAGATAAACAAATGATTATTAAGTATATGAACTGATATTATCCTTGCGATTTTGTATTTCTCTTATAACCTTCGATGAATGTCAAACTCGAATAACAAAACTATTCTCTGATCAATAGATAATTATACAGTGTAACAATGAAATGAAACAATGGATATGATATATCAGACATATACTTTAACTTTATATAGCGTACTTTTCTAGTCTACATTGATCATCTTCATCAAATCAATTGTTTCAATACATTCATAAAAGTAAGACAGGATAACATTTAAATGAATTTTTATATGATTATTGCACATCATATACAAAAAAAGGACACAAAATTTGAGATACAAAACAACAGAAAATATATGGAGAGGATGACAATATAAATTAAAAAAAAAGATAATGAGTATTGCATTATTGAGATAGGTATTATTGACATTATTTTGTTTTTGTTCAATTTTTACATAGCTTTAACTTTCATTTGTTTCATTTTTGGTTGTCGTCTTTTCATTTCACGTTTATGTTCTTTTTCTTCCCATTTACGTTGTCTTTCAGGATCATCGGATTGCATAATTTTTTCTTTTTCAGCACGACGTTTTTCTTCACGTCTTTGTTGAGCTTGTTCTTGTCTTTGTTGATAAACATTTTTTAGGAATTGTTCTTCAATACGTTGACGATTTTTAATTGCTTTTGTTTTTGATTCTTTGGATGTAAAACGAAATGAACTAACACGTTCAATTAAATGTAATACAAAACGTAAATAATCACTTCCAATACTTTCAGTTGTTACTTGTAATGAACGATCATTACGTGCAACTAAATTAAATGCAATAATTAATACACGACGAACAGAACGTTCACTTGTATTTAATGCATCTTGTTGTTGAGCTGCAGTACCAGTGGTTGGTGGAGAATTAGTAGGATTTGGTGTATTAGGTGATGGTTGTTGAGTATCATTTTGTACTTTCATACCTGTATATTGATCACTAATATGAATATATTCGAGTGCATCAGGAAATCTATAGATAATATAAATAGATAGAAGTTGGATAGAGAAATGACTATAAAGTGTTAATTTAATTATTTAGGAAACTTTGATTTCTTTCGTTTATTATCAATAAATCCTAGTGATTCTACTAATTATTAATTTGATCAATTTACATATAAAGATTGCAGCATACTAATATTTCGAATCAAAATTACCAAATATAGCTAATGTCAATCACCTCCGTAAATGCCAAGGAGTGATATTTCAAAATAAACTATCGCAGATCTATTTTATTGACATAGTTTGGATTACATTTTGAATGGAAACAATCATAGATACGAACGCTTTTAGCGTTCTCCTCATCTGACAAGAAAATATGTAAGTCAAAAATATAGAGACAGATGCTAGTAGATAAATGAGATGGAAAAAAGAATTATATATATATATATCAGTTTAACAATAGTTCATACTTTTCAATAAAATCTGCTACTCGATTATCAATGATTGTACTTGATACTTCACCAATTTCATTTAATATTTGATAATTTCCACTTAAACCACGTTTCTCAGCATTTTTTCTTTCCGAACAAAATTGACTAAGATCATTCATATCACGATGTAATTTAGCAGCACAACGTTTTTTAGCTAAACAAAATACAAATGTTTCCATATCATCTTTACTATAATCAATTGTATAAATAATTGTATCATTTATTGATTTGATCATAGCAGCTAATGAATTAAATAAACATTGTCGTTTTATAAAACGTATTTCAATAAGCATATTTTCAATAGATGTTCGTCCACTACACCAAAGTATATATAAACTTTCTGATTCTTTATGCATATTATTTGTTGTTAAATCATTATTCATTTGATCATCGGTTGATTGAATACTACGTGTTTGACCATTATCACCAACAAGAGCAAAATTTCTATCAAGTAAATCACGTTGTGAACGATAAATAATTGAAGCAAGGCGAGCATTTTTCGAACGACCAACAAGAAAATTTATTAAATAACCAAGAAGTACAAGAACCATTACAGCTTCACAATGATAAGCTTCCCAATGATTACCCGTTAAGTTAGTAGGTACTTCAGTAATTTTAAGATCAGATATAGATGACACATATGATGATGAAGATGGAAATGAATCAGACTAAATAAAATCATCATAGAAATATTTTTTGTTAGTGATATTACACATAAGTCTAATATAGCATAAATATTTAAGCATAATAACAGATTTTTTTCATTTGTTATTAATTGAGTCTTAGATATTAGTCTAATAATTGAAAATTTGACATATAAAATTTGGAAAAAAACTACTAAACTCAATACTCATACTTTCAGCTAAATTATCTGTCTAATATATATATATTCCGACTTGTATCTTCACTTCCAGAATGAAAAACTGAAATCAATATTTGTATACCTCCACCAAAGTTGTTAGTAATGCAAAAAAAAAGGTTACGTCATTAAAAATGATCTTTACCTTTTATCTTCAGGGCGTTTTAATTATTATCATGAACATTAAAACTATGATGATATACACATACATATAATTTAATTAACCCAATAGATCAAATTAAATCTATTATGATCATCTTAGAAAAAAACTCATATTTTACCGTTTCAAATTCTTCTTCATCAAACATAAGATCATCGTCTTCATCTTCATCAATAGTAACATCATCACTAAGTATTTGTTCTGTTGTGTGACTCATTGATGATTGAGATGAACCATCATTATATACTACATCAGATTTTTTTGATTGTGTTTTAATTGGTAATTGATTAGCACCAGATGAAGATGGAACTTCTACAATAGTAAATCAATATTCATTTTATCTCAAAAAATAATATTTATTATTCATACCAACAACAAATTCATCTTCATCAAAATCATCAAATTCTGAAAAATCATCATCTTTAATTTTCTTTGCTGCTGTCCACATATGGCATAAAAGTATATTGAATAAAATAAATAATAAAGTACTAAATGAACGCATATTATTAAAAGAACTTTTCCTAATAAAATATTATTAGTACATGTTTTGCTATCAATAAGAAGACTTCATCTTTTTTTTTTTCTTTTATTATAATTCTATTGGTTAATAGAATATATCCAATACAATATGCTTGAAACATCTTTATTTCATATCTATTAAAATTTATTAATGAAAAAAAGTTAAAATTAATTTTAGATAATAAATTTCGATTGTTTTCATTGATTAGAATACATAGATGGAAGCATACAATGGGAGATAATGACCAATGAGATATCACAACGTTTTTTTTGTCTTCATTTAATCACAACAACGGACATGCCTGTTCTTCTTTTTCTGCCCAGTATAACCGACCTTTTCGATAAATAAAAGAAAAAAAAGAGAAAAAAAATTTGTTGATTGTTTTTATTTTTATTTCAGATATTGACATCAATAGAAACATATCCTTTATATTTAGTATGAATTTTAACAACATTTAACATATTTATTTTCTTTCCTAAGGTAATTTTTATTTTATACTACTACTACTGCATGATAAGAATATTAATAATTTGTAATATTATAAAAAAACAGGATAGATTTTTTCTTTCATCGATATATCTATATATTTGTCTATCAAAAACGGAATGATTTAATGATTGATAGTAAATATTGCTCATTTTTTTCATTTTTTGTGTAACAAATACGACTAATTGTGTACATGAAGAGACGAAGATTTATTATGTCATTGATGAATTAGAATCAATAAGAATGACAATTTTTTCCTTTTTCTTTCTGACTTTTTCTGTGTCATAGTTATTACTATATACGGAAAGAGAGAGAAATAATCTGTGTCATTCAGTTTGTCTTTAAAAGAAGATGTCGCAACAATTGCTTGTTTGATATATACATCTATTTATCATACGAACTCCTTTACTTCTATCAACAGTTGCCCCTTACTGTGCTAGTACATAGCGCGGAGGAGAATAGAGGAAAAAAAAGAGTCGGAGAAGAAGCGTAAATGATAACTGCATGTTTATTTCAGGTTGTTGTTATTATTGTCGTCATCATCTCACAGAATCTTTCTCGGCGTATAGCATTACAATTTTTTCCTTCCATTATTCATGGCTCGAGTTGTACGTAATAGCAAATTTCGGTAAGTTTTGTTGAATTTCTATTGAAAAAACGATAAGAAAATCTTTGATTATTATTTCTTAAGGCATATTTTTGGCCAAGCAGCTAAAAAACAAGATTGTTATGAAAATATTCGTATCACAAAAAGTGCTTGGGATTCAACCTTCTGTTCAGTTAATCCAAAATTTCTTGCTATTATAACTGAATCAGCTGGTGGTGGAGCATTTCTTGTTGTACCACTTGAAAAAATGGGACGTATTGATCGTGATGTACCATTAGTTACAGGACATAAGGCTGCAGTACTTGATATAGCTTGGTGTCCACATAATGATAATGTTATAGCAAGTGGTTCAGAAGATTGTACAGTTAAAGTTTGGCAAATACCAGATGGTGGTTTAACATCAAATAATTTAACTCAAGCAGCTGTTGATCTTGTTGCACATCAGAGACGTGTTGGACAAGTAGTTTGGCATCCAAGTGCACTTAATGTTTTACTTAGTGCTGGTATTTAATTTGAAATTATTTACATCAAATAATAAAAATCTTTTTCAGGTGGTGATATGAAAATTTTTATATGGAATGTTGGTAAAGCAACGATTTTAACAACAATTGATTGTCATCCAGAAGTTATTTTAAGTGTTTCATGGAATTATAGTGGTTCACGTATTGTTACATCATGTAAAGATAAAATATTTCGTATTATTAATCCACGTACTGGTCATGTTGTTAAGGTTATAAATTGATAGAAAGAGGAAAATTATTTAAACATCTGATTTTCTTGTTTTATAGTCAGGAATGGGTCATCAAGGAGCTAAACCTGCTCGCGCTATTTATTTACGTGATGGTCGTATTTTTTCAACTGGATTTTCGAGAATGTCAGAAAGACAATATGCTCTTTGGGATGGGGTTTGTATTTCTTAAAAAATTTCAAAAATAAAATTTTCAAAAAATCTTTTTTTTTTCATATTTTAAGGATAATTTGGGTAATGCTTTAACAATGGAAGAACTTGATTCATCTAATGGTATTCTATTTCCATTTTACGATGAAGATACTAGTTTGATTTTCTTATGTGGAAAGGTAAAATTTGATATTTCATAAAGATGTACAACTCTCATCTATATTATATAAATATAATTTTTCTATTAGGGCGATTCAACTATTCGTTATTTTGAATATACATCTGAAGCACCTTATATTCATTATATAAATACATATTCATCATCTGATCCTCAACGTGGTATGGGTGTTATGCCAAAACGTGGAATGAATATTTCGACATGTGAAATTGCTCGGTATGCATGAAATAGAAAAAGTAAAATATAACTATTTAAAATATTTGGTTTTTTTTAGTTTTTATAAATTGCTCAATAGTGGTCTTTGTGAAGTAATTGGTTTTACTGTACCTCGAAAAGTATGTTCTATTCGATTAGTTTAATAAAATAATTTATCTTTGTTTTTTATTTAGTCGGAATTATTTCAAGAAGATCTTTATCCAGATACAGCAGCTGAAGAACATGCAATGACTGCTGATGAATGGATGGATGGTAAAGATGCTGAGCCACGATTGGTAAGAATGAAATTGAAGCTAGTATAATGTATTGAAATTTTGTTTAGGCATCTGTTCGTGATCTGAATTCAGGTACGAAATCTCATTCAAATAATAATGGTGGTGGATTGGGTGTGAATAATACAAATCAAAAACAAGAAGTTGTTTTTGGTAAATCATCAACAAATCAAAAAACTTCACCAACATCACCACAAAATTCATCACCACAAAAAAATGGTAACGGTGGTGGCACAAATCTTCTTTCACAAGGACAGGTATATATATTTGTCTAATTTAATTACATAGAAATATAGTCATCATACTTTTATTTCAGCATGCGGATAATGAATTTCTTGAAAAACTTGTTGAAGAAATGCGTCGAGTGAAAATAATTGTTAAAGGACATGAACGACGTATTAAAACGTTAGAAGAACGTTTATCACAATATGAAGCACCAGTTGATGATCTTGATGATTAATTTTATAATTTAAACAACAATGTTTCCTTTTTCTTTTCTCATCTTTATCTTTACTCTTTCTCATTTATTTATTTTTCAATTTACCTACTATGTGCATACATCTACACACACAAATACAACTTAAAGATTAACTTTTGAATTTGGTAAGATAATCATTAGTTTGCATGTTTATATTATTTTTCTTATTTTTGCTTAGAACAATAACCAAATTTTGTCTTCCACATCCTTTACATGAACATCTAAAATCCATGACATACCCGTTAATAAACAATATGAACATATTCTCATCAATTAGATCTGATAAATCAACGTTTACATGATTTTAATTATCGTTGAAAACTTCTTGAAAAACAATCTGTTAATAAAGCTAATCAACAAGTAGTTTTTCAACATAATATCTATAAAATCAATCATTCTATCAACGATCTTATATTTTAATTTTTTTTTCAAAACTCCATGTGTGTCTTATGCATATAGTTATTATTTCTTATCTTTTTCGATATTTGCTTCCCTTTTTCTTTCATATGTATGATTTCTTTCTTTTTTTTGCTATTCCCGTCCATTGTTAAATATTTGTCTATTGAGCATTTAACATATGTGGAAAACTAAACGGCAATTCATCTTTATACCTTTTACTCTCCTTATTTGCTCTGAGCTATACCCGGTGCTACAAAGCGTGCGCGTAATTCACATTTTACTGTCTTCCGTGTTTTTTTTTTCTCTTCATTATCTCAGTTTTTCTTTTCTATTAGGATTATCACTGTACACATTGAGAATCAAACAAAATATCAAACGATCAAAAAAAAACAATCTTTTCTTTCTTTTGTGTTTAAGCAAAAAATATTTAACAACATTAAAAACAATAAATTCTTTCAAAAAAAAAATATTTTAGATGAAAATCAATTGTATTACATATCTATTGGCTATATTCATCTTAATATGCATAGCAAGTGTTATGTCCGCTGGGTGTGTGTGATTTTATAAAGTTTCTATTGAGAATAAAATGATTGACGTTTTATTTTTATTTAGACGTGATTTTTATAAAATTTTAAATTTACCAAGAACCGCAACATTAAATCAAATAAAGAAGAATTATCGAAAATTAGCAAAAGAATTACATCCAGATAAAAATAAAAATGATCCACAAGCAGCAGAACGTTTTCAAGATTTAGGAGCTGCTTATGAAGTAAAATTGTTTAATTATATATTTAAAAGATTTCATTTGATTATTTCAGGCATTATCAGATCCTGATAAACGTAAAGTATATGATAAACATGGTGAAGATGGTTTAAAACAACAAGGCGGTGGTGATCAATTTCATGATCCATTTTCCAGGTAAATTAATTTGTATATATATATAAGTTGATTATTTTGTGTATTTTTTCCAGTTTTTTCGGTGATTTCTTTCATTTTGGTGGAGGATCAAGAGATGAAGGACAACATCATGTACCACGTGGTGGAGATTTAGTTGTCGATTTATATGTTACACTTGAAGAAGTTTATAATGGAAATTTTATTGAAGTATAATTAGAAATTTGATTTGTTTTTTTGTCTATTCTTAATTCAACTGTTCAGGTTGTTCGAGCTAAACCAGTAGCAAAACAAACATCTGGTTCAAGAAAATGTAATTGTCGAATGGAAATGCGAACAACACAAATGGGCCCAGGACGAGTAAGATTAACTTATCAACATAAAATAACTAATTAAGAGTATATTTTCATGCAAGCATCCTATCTACACCTAATCAAAATGTCCTACAGATAGATATTTATACAATACACTAAAGGTTATATAGTACTAGAACATACATATATATATGAATACAAAAGAAAAACTATTTTTGTACTCATATAACAAAATGAGAAAAGTATTCTTTTGGGAATACACCTACATATTATGAATACAATAATATCTAGAAATCTCACATGTCTATATAGATAAAGAATTAATTATAATGAGTAATTTTATTTTAGTTTCAAATGATGCAGGAACAAGTATGCGATGAATGTCCGAACATCAAGTAAAATAAAACTAAATCTAAATGATATTGTTAAAAACTTTTTTTTGTATTTCTTAAAGATTTGTCACAGAAGAGAAAGTATTAGAAATTGAAGTTGAAGCAGGCGTAGCTGATGGATATCAAATACCATTTCTTGCTGAAGGTTTGTTATATAATAATCTTATTTCTTATGCAATACATAGATATGTTTGTTTTTTCAATAATATAGGAGAACCTCATGTTGAAGGTGAACCAGGTGATTTAAAATTTGTTATTCGTATTCAAAAGTAAATTTATACCTATTCAAAATTTTACTCTATTTTTTTCTTTGTTTTTAAAGACATGCAAGATTTGAACGTAAAAATAATGATTTATATACAAATTTAACAATAACTTTACAAGATGCACTTAATGGTTTCGATATTTCATTCCCTCATCTTGATGGACATAATGTAAGAAATTTTATAAAACAATAATAAAATAATTATTCAATCTTGTTTAAAGGTAACAATTAAACGTGAGAAAATAACTTGGCCAGGTGCTCGTATAAAGAAAAAAGGCGAAGGTTTACCACAACATGATCAAAATAATATCGTTGGCGATCTTTATGTTACAATTGATGTCGATTTTCCTAAAGGCGAACTTGATAATACACAGCGAGAAGGTAATTTAAAAAAAAAATCTTTCTTTATATAGTATATTAAATTATTATCGTCTTTTTTCTTAGCTGTTAAAAATCTACTAAATCAAGAATCAAAACATCGATTGTACAATGGCATATAGACTATTGATTTATTTTTATTTGTTGTAATCTTGTTTAGGTTAATATTTGTGTTTCGTTTTTTTTATTATTTCCATTGTGATGGTTTATTCCTGACTAAGTTATTACATGCTTGCTTTATTTATTTTCTTCGTTTTGTTTTCTTCAACAGACAACTTACAATAAGCTAAAATGTGGTGAATTTATGTGATTTTGCTTTCCGCTTCTTTTTTTTTTTCTTCTTTTGCTGATCTGATAATCGTTACAGTTCGATTTTTACACCATTGCTTACTTTATTCATCCATTGAATAGTTAGTTTCAAGATAAAAAAAAACAGATTACGATATAATATCTATATTTTATAATTAATTAAGAACGAAAACAACTGAATTGAAAAAGTATCTCATTTATTGTCGAATAGCATGTCATTTGATTTTTGATTAAAGAAATAATATATTGAGCATAATAGAAATATATTTGAACAAATGAATTATTTCCTACTCTTCAAACAAGGATATGACATCGAAGAAGAATATATACAATCTCAAATTAGTCATTCTTTTGAAAATATTATGACGTTAATTAAGAGTATTATTATAATAATGAATAGAAAAACTTTGCTTTTTTTATAGATGTACTATGTGAATTATTAAAAAAAACAAAGTACTTGATATCTTACTGAGACAGTCATTGAAATAATGATACGTAGAGATAAGTAAAAATAAATATGTCACAACAGTTTCTGTGTTAATTTTGATATTCAAGTTAAAAAACAAGTATTAGAAGAAAAATAATTTATTGTTATATTTTTGTGTTTTTATCTTTAAACCAATGAAATTATCTCGTAAAATTATTGTAGTATGATAGAAGTTGTCATCGATATATAAAACATTTCTTTACTTTAATTTATTATGTTCTTCATCAGTAATTGTTCTGTCACGCATGAAGATGTTTGTTAATTATTTCAAGTGAACAGAATTGTATCATCAGCAAAAAGAGAAAAAAACAAAATTTTATCTATAGATTAGCAAGTCATGTATATTTCTGCCTTTTATAAATATTAATTAATATTCCTGGCATCGTTATCTAGAAAGACTTGATCTATTGAATCATTCATATTCCAAATAAATTCGGTTGCAATCTATGTCATCCCACTATTTTTGGGAATATTTATTAATATATAAAATAACCCTTTTTCTTTTTTTTGTGTTATACACTAATATTCTTGAAAATAAAAATTCTTGTATAGAGCGCTATTTATAACGAATGTTCAAGTAAAATTGACTTCCTTTTTGCTATTTTCCATCTAGTCTATCAACATCCGTTGTTGATCGATTCATCCTCCCATGAGCATCTAGTTTACACAAGTTCCTATATTAACAGAATTTTACAATTGTCTCGCTACAAAACTGAAAAAATATTAATAATAAAGGTGTGATATAATTTCTATTTATTAACAGCATAGTTTCCAATCAATTCTAAGAAACAATCTGAACGATCACGATTTAAATTAAGTTTTTAGATAATTATATCGAATAATATATATATTTTTTGTAAATATCGATTAATAACAGTTATTTTTAAAAATGTTTTACAGTAAAAATAGATTATTAGTGTTTAGTTAATCAGTTTATTTCATAACCCACAACTACAAGCAAACAAAAAAAAAGAAAAGTAAAGAATATTTATATTGATATATATATTCTATTGTTGTTCTTTATCTAAACCCATTAAATGTTGAACATAATATTCCCAAGTTGGTTGTGATAATTTAATTTGATTGCAAATATCCGTATATTTTTCACGTGTATTAATGACATAGTTCACAGCTAATTCACCTTTTTCAATATATGTTTGCATAATAGGATCATCTTTCAATGAAAACTATTTTCAAAAAAACAAATATTTCAATCAGTCAAATGAAAAACAAAATCTTCAGAAATTATTTACTTACACCTTCTAATTCTTCTCGTGCTTTTGATACATATTGTTTAATTGCATTGAGATCGACAGGAAAATTTGTTTTTTGACTATGATATAAAATATAGAAAAGAATGGAAGCCGTTGATATAAGACGAAGAATTTCATCCGAAACTAAATGATATATAATTAGATTGAACAAAAAATATATATATATACAAAATACTTGATGGATCTAAGCCTTTTGCAAGTAAATCACGTTTGATATTTTCAAAATCAACATTAAACAATTGTCCTAAATGAGCTGTTGCTGAAAATGATCCATCCTGTGCAACAAAAAGAATACGAAATTATTTATAAGAATCACTTATATTTAGAATATAACTTACATTATTTTGTTGTTGAAAAATTCCGTTTATGAGTGAATCGGTAAGAGGCGTTTCAATAATTGATTGTAATGGCGTATCTGTGAAGAATCATATTACATATTAACATTTTTTTTCAAAAATAAAATCACGACATACTTACCATTTGTGACTGAATCAGCTGTTTTTCCCTAAGAATAATAAATTTGAAGGATAAATATCATTTTAATTATTATATAGTATCAAAGATTACTTACTGCTGTATTACTTGCCATAATATTAGCTCACGTGAGTGACTAGCTAGTAGTAGATAGACTGATGGTGACGACAGTGAATGAGACGTGTCGAGCGAACTGAGGCTTTGTATTTTCTCTCTCTCTCTCTCTTTCTTCGTTTTTTTCTGCTTCTATACTCCTTCTTTTCCTCAATCGGCGGACGAATAACAACTGACGATGTTAGAGTCATCGCGTTCGCCTTCATCGTCATCGATGCATCGCCAACAAAAAAAAATATATATTTCAAGTTATTCTTTCTTGTCGATCCTCTACATCTAGTCTTCATATTGTACCCATTTACTGCGCAACTAAAATTTCCTCAAAACTAAAGAAGGCACATGGGGATTCTTAGCAGATGAGCTGCTTCTTTTTGTTCTGATGTAACTCTTTGGTTTTTCTTTGTTCTCTTCATCATGTTCAAGTATATAGCTTGTTGTTATTTTTATACTTCAGAAAAAAAAAAGAAAATTTTCACTTTGACAAATGTCTAAATCAATTACTGAAAATATTCATATGTCATGTAGGTTAAAAAGAAACTTACTTATTCAATGAATTTTATTTTATTTTCTTTTTTTTTTGCGAAAAGAGAAAAAGAAAAAGAGACGGATACCAATAGGGAATAAGTGAAAGTGTGCGAACCAGCAAAAAAAGCACACACACACACGCACATATACAAAGTTATTAAGAAAAAAAACCGACGTCAAAAATACAAGAGACAATATTTGTGTCATCGTTCTACCTTCCTCCATCACACATATAGGTTAAAAGTTGTTCGTAAATAAATTACTTTTATATTTCTATGAATATATATATATGTGAATATATATTGTGTGTGTTTTGGCTCGTACTCAACAAATAGATAGTAAAAAACAACGAAAATAAAACAATAGGTGTTTATATAAATATGTGTATATGTAAATCCTTTCATAAATAGGTCTTCCACTGAGAACTTGAATTTATAAACGTTGTAAAAAAACAAATGAAAGGACAAAATGACCAACGCAAGTCAAAAAGAGAAGAAAAAAAAACTTGACATCGACGAAACAAAAACGAAGAAACTAAAGAAGAAGAAGAAGAATTTCTCGGTCAAAGTATATAATACGCTAGTATATGTGTGTGTGTGTTTGTGGCAAAAGAAGAAGAAGAAGAAGAAGAAGAAGACAGGTGTATGTTAGTGTTGAATAGTAAATAGTTTTAGAACGAAAAGTAGAGTAAAATGAAAGAAAAACGAAAATAGCATACACGCACACAACAACGATGACAAAAAAAAGAAATTTCTGTAATATATAATGATGAATGATACGTCCTTGGTCACATTTATTTTGAAGTCATCATTGTCACGAATTCTTCATAATTAACTTGACCATCTAGAAGAATTAAATAAAATTTAGAAAAAAAATTATTTCTTCTACAAGAATAATTTACCTCCATCGATATCTGCTTCACGAATCATCTCATCGACTTCTTCATCCGTCAATTTTTCTCCTAAATTCGTCATCACATGACTATAAAATAACAAAAAAAAAACATAAGATTAAATATAATTTGAGTAACAAACCGAAGTTCAGCTGCTGATATAAATCCATTGCCATCTTTGTCAAATACACGGAATGCTTCACGAATTTCTTCTTCACTATCAGTATCTTTCATTTTACGAGCCATCATTGTTAAAAATTCAGGAAAATCAATTGTACCATTACCTATAAAAAAATAATTTAATTAAATAATCTAATAAAACAAATAGATTCTATACCATCGGCATCTACTTCATTAATCATATCTTGTAATTCAGCTTCAGTTGGATTTTGCCCTAAACTACGCATAACGGTACCTAAAAAAAAGATTATTAATTATTATTTAATTCTTCTTCATTGAACATACCTAATTCTTTAGTAGTAATTGTTCCATCTCCATCTTTATCAAAAAGCGAGAAAGCTTCTTTAAATTCAGCAATTTGTTCTTCGGTTAATTGATCAGCCATTTCAATTTAATCTTGTGAATGAATAATATACACTTCTACACACAAAAAAATCTGAAAAAAACAGATACTACTAATAAAAAACAACAACAATAACAACAACATTCACTTGACAACATTAACTAAAACAAAACAAAAAGGAGAAAAAAAAGGCAGAAAATAATAAAGATGTCGCTTATTAATTGAAATTATAAAATATTGAAATTTACAATAAAATTATCTTAAATAATCATATAAATTAATATCTATTTGTTTCATTTAAGAAAATAAATAATAGCCATAACATATGTATAAATAGCCTCTATGAACCAATCATTTGTCATTATATAACTGATTATTCTTTTTCAGCTGGAAGAGAACGAACAAAACAAAGAGAAAGAACGAGAAAATGAGTATTATTTCAGTGGTGAGAGAGCTGCCTGCTTGGTTAGTTAGTGGGTGTGTAGGTGTTGCAATTGCTCCTTGCTCCACCGCACGAGAAAAAAAAGGAACACAAACAAATATTTATTGTTCTATATTTTCAGATCGCCGAGAATTAGATATCATCTGTCGGCGAAAAAACGCCAAGGTTTGAGAGTGTGAATGTGAGAGAAGTTTTGGTTTTCTAAAAACACTAAACGGCACTTGTCATTTTTTTATTACAATTAAATTTATCCAACACACTCAATGGCAGAAGGAGGATATAATATTCAATCGCATAATAATTATCCTGATCGAATGCAACAATCGCAACAAGGTTAGATAGATTTTTTATTGCTTCTTTTATGGACAAGAGGTTAAAAAAACATCTCTTCTACATGTTTTAGGTGGATCAGTTAGTGAAGAAGAATTAGCAACTAAAACACTTCATATACAATCGAAACGTTTTTATTTGGATGTTAAACAAAATCGACGTGGTCGATTTATAAAAATTGCTGAAGTAAAATTTAATACTTTTTTAATTTAAATCTTTTTTTTTTAATATTTATTTAAGGTTAGCGCTGGTGGTCGAAAAAGTCGTATATTAATGTCTATGAGTGTTGCAAATGAATTTCGTGATCAATTAGGTGCATTTGATCAATTTATTCGTACATTAGGTAATAGACATAACATAAGCATTTTTATAATTTTATTCTATTAAAAAACTTAGGCGAACATAATCCAAATAATCAACAACCTACAGAAGATGGTTGTTTACGTTCAGCACTTATAACACGTGATGATCGAAAATATTATCTTGATTTAAAAGAAAATGAACGTGGACGATTTTTACGTGTATGTTAAATAGATTAAATTTTTCAAAATGAGTTTATTTTTATTTTATTTTCTTAAATATAAGATTTCAATGGTTGGTATGAATGCTCCGCGTACACAAATCGCATTACCTGTACAAGGTGTACAAGAAATACGTGATGCATTAAATACTTTACTTGAAGAATTTGGAAATGAAGATGATAGAGGTACGAGAGTGCGACATCTATAAGAAGATTTTTGTTTGTGAGATAGTTTGAATCTAGAACTAAAGTTTCAATGATAAAATAATCAAATAAGATTTATATTTTTTTGAAAATATTTTTATTGGATAAAGAATTCACCTATTTGAAACTATATAACGGATATTTTTAGTATTAAATATTTAAAAAAGTACTTGCATAATAAGTAGTCGATACGAGAAAAAAAAATTTGTGCCGTATATAAAGATGGAGTTAATAGTATTTATTCTTTACTTTTTATTATATAAGTTTATTTTTTTTTCTTTGTTTCAGATAGTATCGAGTCACTACCAGCAATAGGTAAGTTGTTATACACAAAATATATAGTTCAAACTAGGATTTCTTCCAAAACGACTTATTTTGAGTGATGGTATTTGGTGGGAAAAACTATTAAATCGAGAATAGATTTATGATTAAGTTATATTTATAAACTTTTTTATTATAATTTAATTATCAATCGATCAAAATATGATTTAACATATTATATATTTTCAGAACCAGCTGAAATACCTGACAGTAAATTTGTTCATGTTGGAAATAAAAACTTTTATTTTGATATTGGTTCAAATAATCGTGGCGTCTTTTTACGTATATCCGAAGTAAATATAAACATGATTAATTTTATATTTGACTATTATGTTTTATTAAAATAATATTAGGTTCGTGCAAATTTTCGAACAGCTGTAACAATACCAGAAAAGGCATGGCCTCGTTTTCGCGATAATATTAATGATTTTATGCTTGCAATGGAAAAAGAACGTAATAATATATCATCAACAGTCGATAATTCCCGGTCAACTTCTGGTAATGAAGATAAACCACCAATAACGCCAAGCGATATTGGTGAAAATAAAAATTAAGAGTATATATATTGATAGACACTCTTAGAATTATTTTAAAGCAAAAAATAATATTATACTAATTGGTAGCTTTAGCTTCATCCTCTTCTTCTTCTTCTTCATTTTCTCGTCTTTTTTTTTCAAACACATAGACAAATTTATCCTTTTTTTGACTCTTCAAAAGAGCCCGGTGTGTATCTGTATGAGTATAGTAAAGAACATGTTGAAATGTAAATGTTGGTAAGGGGCGTTTTTATCCTCTATGTGTAAAAACAAACGTTTATTTATTCATATATAACAAAAACCACAGTTTTCTCGTATTTTTTTTTCTCTCTTTTGCTTCTATCTAATTGGAATGGAAAACAAACAAACAAACATATTTTAGAAAGATTAATTTTTTTGTTAAAAATATTGTCTTTCGTTAAGTATAATTTACAGTAACCCATTTATTTGTCGCTCGTCGTATTTATATTTTTATTTGTATGTGTATGTGTCTATAATGAGTTATTAATTTTAATTTTATTATTTATTGACGAAACAAACTTTTTCGCTGCTTCTGTATGTAGATTAGTATCTGGCCGATCGAGAAGGAACATTTTCTTTTTTGTTTTGTTTGTGTCTATTCTTTCTATTCCAAATCCGGTATCATTAATATTATTAATATTTTCGTGTGAGTGTGCGTATATATCATCCGGTTTTTTTTCTTTCTTTCTTTTTTTTTTGTTTTGTTCTTTATCTAGTTCTAGCAGTTTTGTATCATGAATACTATTGATACATAAAAAAGAGAAAAAGAAATACTGAACGAATATAATAAATGTAATAACAATCAAATAATTTCTGTTTTGTCTTATTGAATTATTTTATCTTTCAGATAATTAATATGAATTAATTTAATACATATTTTTCTGTTTTCTTTTTGGTATCTGAATGCCTCTTTTCGGTCGACGATTATTTCATCTTAATGAAGATGATAATAATAATAATGAACATGAAGAAATTTATACAATTGAACATACAGGAGAAAAATTTCATAGTAAAGAATTATATGAAAAATTAAAAAAAGCATATGAACTAGAACGTTGGACATGTGAATGTACATGGAGAGCTAGTTTAACACATAAAGAAGCTTATGAATCAGAAATTGAAACACGAAAATCATTATTAACTATTGTACCTGATTATTTTCATAAAATTATTTTTGATATTCTTTATCATAGTGAGTAAATTGTTCCTACCTAATTAAATTAATTCAATTATATCTAGGTGTTAAGCCATTGGAAAAAGTAGCTGAAGAAGTATCAATTTTACTAGGGTAAATTTAATTTCGACCGATTAAAAATAATGATTTTATTTTCATTTAGACAAGGTTTTGTTGTTGGTGAACCAGTTCAATTTAAAAAACGAAAGGATTCTACAGTGTAATGTTTTTTTTCTTCTTCATGGAAAGTATATATTGTTTTTGTTTAAATAGTGTGAAAGGTATTATAGAACGAATTGATGAAAATGAGGAACGTAAACGAACATCAGAACGTGCATCAGCTCAAGCTAAACCATTATCAGATAAAGTAAATCGAATGTTTTCTTTTGAAATCTAAAATTTTTATTAATATATAGCAAATGAAAAATGTCAAATATGCAATTCGTTTATCGGAGGACGATCGTGTTATTAGTAATGTTCATCCAAATGAATTGCAGTAAGAATATTATAGATATATAATGCATAAAAAAGAATAATTTATTATAGACGAAGTAATTTATTACCAAATCGTGAAAAATTAAAGACATTTATTCGTTCATATGGTATTCGACTTGGCAATCGAGCAGATAGTCCGTGGGTGTTTTACGATGATTCAATAAAAGAAAAATATCAAATAAAAGATCGAGTATCTTCAGAAGATATTGAAAAATTTAAAAAATCAATGACTATTACACTTGATGTAAATAAATGAATAAGATTTTAATTTATGAAAATAAATAAAACTATTGGTATTTGTAGGAAATCATCCGTGAACAAGAACGAATTGTACGAAAACAAGCTGAAGAAGAAGAAGTTGCTTTACTTGGGGAAAATAAAAAATCTAATGCAAATAATAGTAAGTTATTATCACGATGTTCATTTATAAAATACTGAAAAAGCTTTCGATATTTCATCCTTCAATTTCTTTTTCTTTTTGTAGCTTCATCTCAAAACGGTCATGTTAATGATGATGACATAATCTTATCTGATGATGAAGATAAACCTAAAAGTCCAAAGAAGAAAGGAAAATCAACTCCAACAGCAACAACACCAAAAAAATCGTCTCAATCAATAGTATCTCCTAGAAAAAAATCTCATTCACCAACAAAACAAAAAACTCCAACAAAAACAAAAAAACAATTAACATTACATGACATGAAATTTGCAAAGAAATCTTCGAATTCCAATGAACTTCTCTTACAAAAATCGTCATCAACATCTGTAACAACATATAATATTGCTGTACCTTATTCTTTATTACAAAAATTAGATAAAACACGTCGTGATCGTGGTATTCAATCAAGGGTATTTCAACGTTTAGTACTTCATTGTGCACGTTCATTAAATGATAAACAACGTTTACGTTTACCAGATGAATATCGTTCATTGATTCAAAGTAAATATGAAGAATTAGAATTAAAACGACGTTTATCTGAAATGACTGAACAAGAAAAAAAAACTTTTCTCCAAACAAAACATAAACAAAAACAATTAGAACAAAAGTCATGCGAAGATTTAGATTTAACATCTTCAAAAACTCTACCATTACCTAAACCCATTCAAGGATTAACATCTATACCATCACATTATACGGGTGATTTACTTGTTATATGTACATTTTTTACTTCATGTCATTCATTATTTTTTTCCTCATTAACTGATGATTTATCTAAAACAGCTCAACAATTTTTACGTTCATTTAAACATAATCATTTATTACAAGCTTATTTAACATCATCAACAACAATATTTTTTAATTGTTTTATTGAACTTTTGCAAATCTTGATGAAATTATTATTTAAAGAAGATGACAATCGTTTAAATAACGATGATAATAATAATCATGATGAAGAAGATAAACAACAGCAACTACAACAATTAAATAATGAACAACATGATATGGAAACAAATCATATTGAACAAATAACTATTGATGATGATATTGAACAAGTTTATGATGTTAAATTAGCTGATATACCATTAACACAATTTACATGTCAAGAGTTAACACGTTTATATTTAATAAAAGAAAAAAATGAAAATATTCGAAAAATTGCAGATAAATTAGCCAATTTAGAATCAAAAGATTTTTTAATTTCAGAACAAGTAAATTAAAACTAATTGTATATATTTGATTTTTATATGAATTTTTGTTTTTTCGTTCCATTTAGATTGATCTTTTGTTATTATTAGTAAATATGATAACAACAGATAGCGAAATTATGTCGGATTATTTTGAATATTTAACTCGTACAATGTCTGAATCATTTCGTGAACGTAATCAATTATTAGCTGAACGTCGTAAAGCACAAGAAGAAGATAGTAAACAGAAAAAACTTCAATTACAAAATGGTGAAAATGGAAAAATTGCATCTAAAAAACAAAATAAATCTGGACTATTATTAACACCTAAAAATAGTATTGGTGGTACAACAAATGATGAAAATCATCAATCATCACCTTCTGCACTTCATGACGACAATGGCGAGATTGATAGTGGTGGTGATGATGATGATCTTAAAACTGTTATACAAAGACGAAGACAAATGGTTGCTATGTCAAAAGAATTAAAAGAAAAACGTGAACTAGAAACACAAAAAATTTATAATGAACAAAAAAGAGAGTTAGCTATTCAAAAAGCTGAACAAGCTTATCAAGTATAAAAATTAAGTGATGAATTAAATACAAATTTCATTTAATATTTATTTAGGAAGCAATGCTTAATCTTCAATTTGGTTTTCGAATTAAACCATTAGGTTTCGATCGTAATTACAATCGATATTGGTTTTTCAAAGGTTATGCTGGTTTATTTGTAGAAAAAGGTAATATTATATAACATTTCAGATCGTTTTTTTAGGTCAAAACTTTGAATACGAGATAAAAATCTAATAATTCATATTCAATAAATAAATTCTTTTCTTTTACTTGCTAGGTTGGATTGGTTCTGATATAAGTTATTCCGCTCAAATCTCCTCATCTCAAGATGTATCCTTTTCTCGTTCATCGTCAATTATCAATGGTGAAAAATTAATTCCAAAAGACGAGGTAAATCAATGGTGGGCATATGATAATGAAACAACTATTCAGCAATTACTACAATCATTAAATAATCGTGGCATTCGTGAACATAATTTAATAGAAAATATTAAAAAAATTATGCCAATTTTACATACAGAATTTGAACAAATAAAAAAGGAGCCAACCTCCATTGAACAACCATCCGAAGAATCTGTATCAAATACTGGAGTCTCCAATGATGAACAACAGCAGCAGCAGCAACAATCAAATGATATAATACTATCATTTAAAAATGAACTGGAAGATATCGAACAACGTTTACGTCTTGGATCATTAGGTGGTTTTATTATTAATGATAATCTCATTGAATGGCAAACAAAATTGAAAGAATCCAATGAACGTTTTGATTTAGCTGAATTACTTATACAATTACAGCAAACTATCGCTGAAAAATATGCCTCAGGTATATTTGGTACATATGAAAATCAATCAAAAACTTCGAAAAATTCATCAAAAAAGAAAGCTGTAGTTAATAAATCGGCAATAACAAATCAACATAATTTACAACTATGGATGAATGATTGTCGAACATGTAAAACATTTTCACGTTTATATGTTTTGATGATGATCTTTGAAAATTCTATTGCATGGAGTAAATCAACCGTTGGAATTAAATGTAAAATATGTCGTCGAAAACATAAAGATGAATATATTGTTGTATGTGATCAATGCTGTCAAGGTTATCATTTTGAATGTTTACGTGGTTATTCATTAGATAATACAAAAAATTCTATAAATGATTTATGGTATTGTCCAGCATGTCGTCCACAATCAACATCAAAACGACGTTATGAAAAAAGAGAAAAAAAATCAAAAAATGATTATTATGATGCTGATATATATGATATGGATGTTGATACAACATCAAATTTAAGTAGTCATGAACATAATCAAGATGTATCAGATTTAAATAGTGAACAAAGTCATAATAATAATACAAATAATCATGATGATGATATAGATGAATCAAATGAAGAAACTTCATGTTGTGTTTGTGCCGGAGAAGCAAGTGATGATAATGAATTAATACAATGTATACAATGTCGAAGTTTATATCATTGTCAATGCCATGAACCACCGTTGAGATGTCCACCAAGATCAACTACATGGATGTGTAATAGTTGTAGAAATGGAATTAATAATGAAACAGATCAGCCAACTCGACGAGTACAAACACGCAGACAAGTGGCAATAAAAAAAAGAGCACAAAAAACTAAAATACAACCACAAAGACATAATGGAACACGTAGAAGTAAGAAGTGAATTTTATTTTTTGAATTATTTGAGATCGAACTTCAGAAAAAAATAATATAATGTTAAATTTAAATACAGATTAATGAGACATTATAAATTAGGATTATGTAAATTATTGAATTTTTTTTATTTTGAATAGCTGCACGTAAAAATTATCGTGAACTTGAAGAAGATGAAGAAGAAGAAGAAGAGGAAGAGGAAGAAGAAATAGGAAATGATGAAGAAAGTGACTATGAACAAGAATCAAGAAATCAAAGACGTTCAAAACGTTTACGTCGTTCAAGTCCATCGTCAACAGCTGACGAAAATGATGATGTAAAACGTCCACGTCGAAGAGTACGCATAGCAAAATCATCATCTTCTTCTTCGTCGTCGCCATCAGTATCAGATGAAGAACAAATACTGGCAAATCTTAATGATGAAGAAAGTGATGTGGAACAAGATGAAAACGAAAATGAAGATGATGAAGAGCAAGAGCAAGAGCAAGAACAACAACAAGATCAACAACAAACAGAGAATGGAGATATGGAAGCTAATTCACCGTCCTCAAAATAGTCAAATTTTTGGTAAAAATTAATTTGAATTTATTATTATAACTCTTGTTTTTCTTTAATAGAAATATGTCTCAGTGATACTCTTACTTCGAACTGTACATAAATCTGTATTGACCGTAAGAAGAATCGATTTTTTTCTTCTTCTCGTCAAACTGCATCTCGTATTTTTTTTCATGTAAATGTTTATTACCCTTTTTGTGCTGCATATGTAGTCAACTTCGATCTTTTTTCTTTATTCCTGAATTTCTTTTTTTTCTCTATGTTGTTGATATTCTCTTCTTCTCTTGATTGTTTATTTTCATTGATTATTGACAAAGAGAAAATGAGATATGTGCATGTTTGTGATGTTTATCCTAGATGTGTTTCAAAGCACAATGTTCAGCATAAACTTGCTGGTTTTTTTTGTCAAGAGAAAAATAAAATATCGGTTGATTATATTTTGATTTATTCTTTGGACTTATGTGATGTTTATTGTTCTTGTGTGTTTTTTCTATCTTGATCTTCAACGTTATTTTTCTACGTCGTTATAGACGATATATGTATGTACGATGGATGTTTATATGAAGGAAAGATAAGAAAAAAAAAGGTTTAAATAAATGAAGTATGAACTACTTAAATCGACATGATTGATATTCGAAGTTTTAGTTAAATGAGAGTTCATTACGTTGCAATACTAGATATACAATAATAAAATTTATTGTCTAAAACTTTATTTAAATGTAAAATTACGTTTGTTTAACATAGAAGACTTAATAAACATAACTAAAAGAGAGTACATTATTAAATCGGAGTTTTCATATGAAACTTTCTTACGCAAATTGCTGAAATCAAGTTTTGATTATGATATAAGAACAGGACAATGATCTAGAGTTGGAATAATCATAATATCATTCGCTTTTTCACTATTCCACGTTTGTTCAATGGACGTTTTCGGAGAGTCGTACAGATACTAAATCGTTTTTGATTATTCTGATGTTGATGAAGTTTTGAATCTTTTTATTAGAATATAAGCTAATATTGAACAATAATCAAGTATCATTTGTCCAAATGGATCATGTAAATAAATGGATGACGGAAATTTAGATGTAACTAGAATAGGTGAATTGGTGAAAGATAATGTTGGTGCAGCATGAAGACAAGAAAGACGATAGGTAGGTGTGAGTGGCTATGAAGAACTTACACCCTCATCTACACCCATACCTGCGCCCACTCACACCCGCATACCTTTATTTTTTTTTATTTTCGTTGTTACCTAGTCTTTATATTCTTTTCTGTTGAGCGTGGTTGGTGATGACGTATACGATGGAATATCGAATATCCCCTCCTCTAGTATCAGAAGCCCCCTATGGCTTCTAAACTGTCTGTTGCCCAAAATTTTCGAAGAGGACTTCTAATATGACTTTTGTATAAAATTTCTAAAAAAACATAGGAAAGTTGTTGTTTCAATTATCTTGATGCTTTATTTAGAATCGATTCAATTAGTTACACAAAATCTTATTAAAACAAATATAGGTATAAAAAAATGCTTGTACAAGTTATAAACTGTCAAAAAACAGAAAAAGAAAGAACAAATTTTTAAGAAATTAATATAATTTGATTACTTTTTCTAAATATGAGTTAACTTTAATTTTTAATTTTTCTGATTTGATAAACTTTTGCCCTGTTCTTCAGCTAATTTTGCTTGAGTTTCAATTTGCTCATGTTCTTTATTGTCGTCTCTGGATTCATCAGTATGTAATAATGGAGAATCGACTGTAGCCGGATCAAATGTATAATTTGGAAGAGTTCTCGATGATATTCGCATATTATCTGTCCATATAAATCCAGTTTTCTAAAACTTTTCCTCAAAGATGATGCTTGCCTTTGTACGTCGCCATGCGGTCAGTGTTAATCGAGTACATAGAATTCTTGATTGTGAAGCCGTAAGCTTAATTATATGTCTTAGACCATATTATTCGATATATCTTTCTCCTGCATCGGTATAATGACTAGGGTGGGTGTGGCTGTGGATGTTGGTAGGAAATGAATGAACTACCTACACCTTCGCTTTTTATACAATTGTTTTTGACTGTTTATTTGTAGAATTTTAAGCTGTAGTTGCACATCATGAAGCTGATACTAATGAAGCTAACGATGATGAAGATGTTTCTAGTGAACCAAGTGTAATAATGACTTATGACTGTTTGACAAGACCAGTAAATGTGTACATCGAATGGATTGGAAAGTCGAGCGATTATATGTTGGCGACGTTGACTATAAAAATTGTTCTTGGCAATTGTGTAGTTCTAATATGCTTTGTATAATACAAGAAGTTAAATCGCGACAACACGAATCAAATAAATATAATGAAGCACCATGTAAGATCGAATTTCAATCCGTTATATTTAAGTTTTGTAGTTTTTTCTATAATTTAGAATTTGTTAAAAAGCTTATTCTTGCTAATGGTATCATTTTTTATTTCTTAATTTTATTATTTTATAATATTATTCTTTTCGTTGTAGGTAATAATGCATTCTATAAAACTCGTCTTGAGGGGGTGTGGGTGTGATTATCTATGCTTCCAGTCTACACCCACCGTGCCGTTTTATAGACGTTTCATGCATTATAAGGTGCAGTTTTAGATGGTCCGAATGATCCATCTCAATGTACATCAAAAACTAAATTTAAAATTCTTTTTTAATATTTAGGCGGATGAAATTCTGTATAAACAATTTCTTGACACTTGTCACAATGTCAAACAAGAATCAAATCTCCGTAATAAATTTTTATTTAAAAAAACAATTATTTTGTTATTTTAGTTATTGGTCGTGAACAAGAAATAAATTCACGCATTTCTGTTTTGTCTCGACAAACTAAAAATAATCCACTTTTAATTGGGGAATCTGTACGATATATTCAATTCTTTATTTGTGAAAATAAAAGAATTTTTCTATCGTATAGGGCGTTGGAAAAACCTCATTAATTAAAGAATTATCAGAACGTACCATCTCTGAAAATGTATTTCCATTACATACAAAATCAACAACTAGTAAGATTTATGCTAAGAATTGGATATTGAAAACCAATAGAATATTGTAGGTATTTCAAATCTTGAGGGTGGGTAGATGGGTGTGAGGGTGAATATGGAACGAATATAATACATACACCTATACCAACATCTACACCCCATTAGCTGTACAACAATTGGGTCAGAATCTTTATCGACATGTACATTTATATTACTGATAGGTACCATACAAGATAATACATTCACATACTTATCCTATTATCCAGAGCCATACGAGCCACTTTATACGCCTACAACAATAATGATGCGAAATCTGCACACAATATCAAAAAATATGCGAGAACTTTTAATGAAAAATCTCTCATCAAATATCAAAGGAAAATTAGAAATTAGTCATTTTACTAATTTACATCTGTTAGTTCGCGGTGGAGCTGTGGAAGATAATGATTTAATCAGAAACGGTTTAATCTTATTGAATGATCAAAACAACATGGAAAATATCTTCCACGATCCACTCGCCAAACATATATTTCTGTTCAACGACAGTGATGAAGGGATGGGAATATGGGATGGACATAATACATACACCTATACCGACACCTACATCCACAACCATCCTGTTTTCAACAATGCTTTAAAAAACAAAATTTAAAAATTAATTCCACCCATGATGCCATACAACCAGTACTATGTAAACCATGTAAGTTAATTAAAATTATATTCTATTTTTTAAAATTTATTGATAATTTTCTTACTTTGTTTAACACATGTACTTCCTTTTCTCACCTGGGTTTCGGCCATTTATCCGCTCTTCTCGAACCTACAGAGAGATGATTTTGCACATTTTTACACTAGTTGTTTGAAAAGAACAGTAGGATACACGAATAGACTGAATTGCTGTTCCTTTCATTATTTGACGAGTTGTCCTTTGAAAATAGAGAAGTTCGATTTTGGGAGAAGTTTGGTGGGCATCTTCATACTTTCTTAGATGGAGATATGATGTTTACAGAATTCCAATGGAACTCATATAGGAAACAATGATTGAATAAAGAAATAGTAGTCAAACGATTGTACAGGTCGAAGTGTTTTGTACCTTTCCGAACATCAATAGAAATAGCTCTTGAATAGTTAGATTCAAATGTAGAAAATTCAATACTGGAGATACTGATTTCTCATCTAGAAATGTTAGCACTGAACCCAGAATTTTTCTTGTTATAGATTGAGCACACGTTGGATTTGTTTCCTGGTTTAGATCGACACCGTCTCTTCTTTCAACCAGACCATTGAGTTGAATACACCGTAATACTTTTAAGGGATGTAGGTGTGAGTCTTGTCTATCGGCTGCTTACGTGTTTTTTGTCCAGCTCCTTTTTTTTGCACTATCGTTGTTGTGTGTAGGTGTCCTAGCTTCTTTTTTTTTCTTGTGATAGTTCAAATGTCGTGGGTAGGTGACGAGTCTATTCTATTTTAGTCTATACATTTCTCATCCTCTGTATAACAACAAAGTTTGTTTTAAAAGGCCCATTGGGCATTAAATAAAGCAAAATAAAATAAAATAAAATATTAATAATTTTTTTTTATATAAATAGTTCTTGGTACTGCTTCATTAATATTATACATAGAAAAATATATGACAATCGCATCAAATTCTCATATTACAATTTATGTTGATGCAAACGGTCAATATCAACTTCAAGTTCGAGCATCATAAAAAACTTTTTTTTTTGATATTGATCTTTGTGTGTGTTTTTATCTTTTTTAGTTTATTTCTCTTTTCTTTTTTGATTTGTATTTTTTTTTTGTTTTTTTTCCATAATAAACATATGAAACATTATTTAAAAACATCTTTTTTTATGGATAATATACTCCGAAAAAAAGAAGAGCTGTCCAATTTGAATTCGAATTACTCAGCTAGTCAAAAGATAAGGTGTTGAGTAATAGACTTTGCTTTCATACTTTATTCTTTGATACAATATTATTTTTCATTGATAATATAATACAGATCCATACGATTACATTAGCAGTTGCTTTTGGTAACAACTCAACTTTCAAAGCAAATTTGATGTCCATAGACAACACATATGTTTCGCTTCATAATTGATATGATTAAAAATAATTAGATATATGAATTTCTCAATAATCAATGTCATTTTTACAAGCGATATAAAATGTGAATATATGAAGTTGTGGTATACAAGTTAGAACTTTACTATCAAGATAAGTACCAGATATGTGAGTGTGATGACTCAACGAAGGATCTACACGCACAACTACTCTCATTCTCATATAATAACGACTTCATCTCATCTCTGTCGGTTTTGACTAACTTTTGAAATAACTGTTTGCATTGCTCATCATTTCATTGAAACTAATACTAATACTTCAACTAAATAGTTTTAATGTATAAGTAAACTTCATATATTAAGTGTATAAATTTCTTTCAACATCTTGTATATCTAGTAAATTACAATCGAGTAAAAAAACACACACACACCTAGAAAAACAAAATAAACAAATATAAATAAAATATTAATAATTTTATAAATCATGAATCACAAAACAGAATTCTTATTCTTCTTTCTCTTCATGTCATCAGTTACTGATTTTTCGTGTTCATGTGTAAAGTCTTCGGTCGTAGGTCGACTACGTTCATCAAGATATCGTAAAAGATTATCAACAAGATCTGGTGGTGTTGATGATGATAATTTATTATTATTATCTGTTTTCAATTTTTTCGAAACCAATGTCAATTGTTGATATTCCTTTATACATAGAAAATATTATATTAGATAACAAATTAAAAATTTAACAATATTTACTGTTAATGAACGTTTTTCTCCTTTGATAATTGTTTTTGTTGTTGTAGTATTATCCAATGAAGAATAAAATTGTTTATGTCGATATGATATACTTGAAGCATAATCATACATTGTCATTTGTTTTGTATTAATTTTTTTTCGAGTTTTTGGTCGCTTTCGACTGATTCTTGGTGCTGTACAATCATTTTCATCGAATTCAGTTAAATCATCTTGATTTGTATTCGAACTAATATTTATAAAGAAAAAAAATCATTTTTTTCGGTATTATGAATAACTACACACTATACCTTAAACCCCATTTAATTAACGGTTGCCGAGGAATGTACAATTGTTTTTCATTAAAATCATTGAAAATTTCATCCAAATCTATATCATCAAAATTATCATCATAATCATTTACCATTTTAGAGAAGATATTATCTAAAAAAGTTCCTAAATTTATTTTTATTGGCTGAAAGAAAAATATAATATATCGTAAGAAATAATCTTAGATTTCTGTTCTATTCAATTTTTCAACAAATACATGTTTGTCTGTTGTATATAAAATGGATAGAAAATACTTGTATATAGTATAGAATAATCGGTATTGTTCGCAGTTATGTGAAAATGTGTTTATCAGACGATCGAAAAATATCTAATTCATACAAATTTATATTCTTTCTTTTCGGTTCTGTCTCGTCTTCGAAGACTAACGTCATTGTGAATCATCGAACTTTTATTGTATTGAAAGAAATATATGTGAACAAGAAAATCAGTTGTTAAAACCAATGTTTTAAGAGAAGTAGTGTGAATAAGTTGTCTAGTTTTTATAAATTGAATTTCGTTATCAGAATAGCACGTTTTGTAAGTAGAATCTAAATCAAAAAATAAATGGTATACAGACCATTTTCTGATGGTTATTTTAAAGAATTGTTGATTATTATTATCCTTCTTATTGTTTACAAAATAACGAGCGTGAGCTACCTAGACGTATGGGTATAACTTTAAGCCCTTCAAATCTTACTAATTCACGTATATGTTATTAAAAAAACGATATATTTTATTATTAGAATAGAATATTATCATCATAATATATATAAACCTGTCATTTTCTTTTTCAAAATAAATTATATTATAAGACCTCTATCTATTCAGTATTTATAATAATTATTGTTTTAAAATTTAATATATAATTCAAAGATAAACTAGACAAAAAATGATTAATATACGAGAATACTAAATGATTGTTTATTAAGAACAAAGAAGATCGTCAAATTTTGAAATCAGTAGAAGAGTGTATGAAAAGTAATAATCAATGTAAGAAATAAAGCCAATATAGTTGGTTTGATATTTAATCCATTTGATGTCCCTAGTTTAATAATACCACAAGCCACTCGCGCACCAGCATGTCTGTTTCAACAAGAAATAAAATTAATTAAAATATTTTTAATAAAAGTACATAGATCATACCCAGTTAAATTACTGTCATTACTACCTACACCACCATCATCAAAAGTAATATGTATGACGATAGTTCGATTGTTGATTGATTGTGTAGCATTATAAAGTTGAATAATACTATCTTGAATATCAATAACTGATACACCATTTGCTGATGTTGTTATATTTCCAAGATCACCAACATGTCGATGCCATATATCAGATTCACGAGGACCATGACTAGTATCTAAATATTTATTTTTAAATTAAATATAAGTAAACAATGATTTTGTTAGTTACTGTAAGGATTAAAATGATCAGCAGCTGCTATACAGTTTGGCATATTGTCTGATACTCCGAGAGTATGAACATGGAAACCCTGAAAAAAAAATCTTATGAGAACTTTTCTTTAGTTTTCTTTCATTAGATATACAAGACTTTGACTAGCATTCAATGAATTAAGTGTACCAGAAACTTTAACAGGTGAGTTAGCATCATTTTGAAAAAATGTTAATATTCCAATTGATTGTGAAGTATTATGCAATTTAACACTAGCATAAGCTATCATAGAACATTGTCCATGATCAATAAATAATAATAATAAGATACTAATAAGTAATACGAACATATTGATTATTAGATAATGAAGATCTATTAAATAAAAATAAGAAAAGATTTTTCGAGAATTAAATTAATCAAATTCATAAACTTAATCTACGAAATAGCATATAAACTAAGTCTAGTGACAAAATAATAATAATATGCATAAAAAAAAGAACGTATCATCTGGCAAATGAATATATGAAAGGACAAAATCGAATGCTTTGTTTCTTTTATTCTTTCAATATCTGTATTCTTAAGTCAAGGTTAAAAACCTATTGATATGCATGACTTGCTCGAATCGATACAAAAGGTGATTGAAGACAGATATATCTGTTTACTATTCGATTGATCAATCCTTTTCGAAAATTATTATAATAGTTTTGCTTCTATCCATTTTTAATCTCATATTTATCTGATTTCACAGCTACATATGAAAAATTCTTGTTTATTTTTTTTTATTATACAAGTACCTATAAATATAAGAAGTTAATAAAGAAAAATCTTTCTGATTCTATATAGTATAAGAAACGCTATGAAACTAACATAAAAAGAAGTGATAGATTTCTAAGTAGACTATTAGAATAATTCAAGTATAATATATGACAAGATAATAAGCATAGACAGCAGTATAAAGGTACTCTCAGGAGAAAAATGAAGTACACATTAATTGTATTAATCTTTTCTTCTATCGTTCTGTTATATATTTTTTGAGTTAATGATGCGAAATACTTAAAGTGCTATATTTATATATGTGAGTTTAATTATGGATGTAAGATACAAGAAAGCTAGATATATTAATCTATCTATTATGTAAAATCTTATTGAACAATCAGATATTTTCTTTCTGAATAAAATATTTTGATTAATGTTCTCACAAAGATAATGAATATGATATTTTTTCGAGAAGTATAGGTATAAATGTACTTGATAATGACAAGATTTATTACGTACTATATTTAGAAGAGGACAAATGCGCATAAACGATAATACTAAATGTAAAAACTATTATTATTCAATGAATTGATTGTCTATTTGAAATATTTTTCTATCTACTCAAACTTTTAGATTGAAATCGACTAAAAAAATGAACTTTGTCTTTTTCTCTCGCTTGCTTTGTATCATAGTTTTCGTTTGGTTACTTATCTGAAGGACGATGAAGAACTAATCAGCTTAAAAATAAATTTAACTCTTTTATATTTATGGTATTCACTGTATCCAGACAAAATAACAGTATATAATATATATCAAACGGTCGAAATATGAGACATTCTTTTTTAGTCTTGTCATACAACTATTAGTCTATGAAAAACGAGTCAAAATGAAAGTGATGATGTTATTACAGAATTATTTATTTAGGTTATATTTTCTACATCACTTTTTTCAAAATATTTTGTACTGAAAATCATAAATAAAAATATTTTTTTGAAGCAAATAATAGCACAGTGTATACTGAATTTTTTAGTCATGTTCAATGCTATTGACTTTTACTTGATAGCAAAACTCGGTTAGATTATCTACTGAATTTGTCGTGTTTCTAGAGCATCCTATATATCTAAACATTCTAATATTATTAAATCTATTATGATTTAACAAATAAGCTCGAGGACACTTATGCTATTTCAAATCGAAACAACTTATTTTTCGGTTAGGTCGTTAGTATCCATAAACGACGACGGTTAGACTGATATAATTGAAATCGATCCAAGATCTGATTGATAAAGAATGAAGATATTGCTTTGAATCTTTTTCGTTTTATGCATAATATTTAACACATGATATTGTAAAACTCCATCTGATTTTTGTTTAAAATGGTTTCAAAATTATATCGTTGAGTGGTGAAAGAAGGTACAAGACTGATTATTAATAATGATATATCCAATGAACAGACAAGAGACAGTAAAGACACAACGAATTTGGCAAATTTATCAATAATCGGATTATAAGAGAACTATGACAATTAATGTAAAGCTTTTCGTAAGATGTGTGCTCGCATTCGGCATCATACTTTGAATATTTTAAACCTATTTCATTGATTCTAAATTCTATTCGAAGCGTTTGATGTGCCTATTGCGCTTGTGATTTATTTGCAATTATTATAAATTTATCATCCGATTGTTTTCGATATAAAAATACAATTGATCAACAAACAGATCTAACCAATCGTATGAAAACACTAATCTTTCTCTCTTGAGAATAGTCAGACATAAAAAGCATTATTTTCGAATTGTTTTTAATTAATCATAGATGCAGAAAGTTGACAGAATAGAATATGAGTTTGCAAATAAAGATTACAATTAGTTTATTTATATTTCCAATTAAAAAATAAATAAATATAATACATCAAGTAGGCCGCATTTACAGATGTTATATACATAATTTTTAGTCAATGATGATTTCATTCTAAGAAGTTTTGCACTGAATACTCGATCACATTTATAATGTTGAGGATAGCAATGTATATGATCAGTACAATATAAATACACACTATCGATTGCTATAGAACAAATACTAGTATTTGAGCATACTGATTCGGCATTAGAACACAGAATTACTCCATCTGATGATGGTTCAACATTAACAAAAATTTGTAAAAATAATTACAAATAATAAGAAAAACAAAGCGAACGTAAATAGTTGCATATAGCACAATAGAATAGAAAACAAAATGAACTTATCATTTTTGTCGTAGTTTGTTTTTATTTTAAGGATAAGAGAGATAGGACAGCGTCTCTTCAAAGGAAAATCAACACAAATGAGAAAAAAGATC